GCAAGACTTCTGTATTGAAAATTTTTATTGGAATCTTTGAACAAATTCTAAGTGCTACAGTTTGATCCAGGACTGAAACAGTATAACCATGATAGGTTTGTTCTCTGTCTTCATTTCTCTGTTTCTTTAACCCCATTCTTAGGCGCCTGTGAATACAAGATGACTAGTCCCCATAACTCAAACAAAAGTTCTAGATTACAGTCTCTTCAGTACCAACTGACTACTTGGGTGATGTCCTTTCTCAGAGATCATCACCATGACCAAGGGAAAGGAATCCACTGATTTGGGCTTCCCATGTGGGGAAGGATGCTTCCAGCCAAGCAAGGCAGGTGTTTTTGCCACAAGAAGGGAACTGCAGATACTAGAGAGCAAACACTATAAATACCCACTAAGTGGGATCACTTACAGTAGAGGTAGAATCTTCAAAGCAATGAAGATTTTATGTTTTCCATCATACTATCTCAATAAATCTAAAATTCCGAATAAAAGATTTAAAATATTTCATCCCTAGTTTCTAATTAAGGGGAATTTTTAAAAAATGTGTACAGCAGGGGCGCCTGGGTGGCTCAGTGGATTAAAGCCTCTGCCTTCAGCTCAGGTCATGATCTCAGTGTCCTGGATCAAGCCCCATATCAGGCTCTCTGCTCAGCAGGGAGCCTGCTTCCTCCTCTCTCTCTCTCTGCCTGCCTCTCTGCCTACTTGAGATCTCTGTCAAATAAATAAAATCTTAAAAAAAAAATGTGTACAGCATGATACAAGATTTCAGTAATGCTACTCTCACATACTCATTTGAATACCATTAAGAAATAAGAGGTAAGAATATTTAGCATATGTGAAGAATTAAGTTGCCTGTGAGAGCTGGAGTTATTATAATGGAAATGGTCAATTTCCTGTCATAAAGGACCATTGGAAAGTGATGGACTCACTCATGCTCTTGTAGAACTCAAAAATGTTTAAATACGTAGACTGGTTATTTTAAGTTTAAATTGTTCACCCTTTATTTGATTTGGCAGTGAAGTAATTATCCTTATACAGTGACATTTCCCTCTGTTACCATGTGAAGTTACTGAATTCACAGAGGTAGGGCTCCAGATGAGAAATGTAGGTATTAATGATAGAGACAGCAGCAAATTTTTGAAATATATGAAAACGAACTTGATATGAGTAAAATATTTACTGCTGTTATATAAAATTGGACACATGTGCTTATATAATGTATTCAAAGGAAAATGAAAGTGAATTGAGAACTCTTAGAGAAGGAATCATTCTATATGATATAAGTCCATATAGCTAATTTCCAAATATTTGGTCAATTTTTCCCTGTAGTATAAGCTTTGCTTTAAAATATATTTCGTATTTTTTCACCATCTTAAGTAATTGAAAATCATTCCTTTTACTTTATGATTCAGGTCATTACAAGCATCATTTATTATGCTGTGAAATAACAGAAGTTTGTAGGGGTGCTTGTCCCTTGTGAAAAAGCCGTAAGGTACTTTGAGGTCTTATGTATGCGTCATGTCCTTTTTAACCTACCTCTCTAATTCCTGTCACTTTTTGCTCCTGGGCTGATAGCAGCCTCTTCTAAATGCTAAAGATTTTGAAGGCATTCATGTTGTATATAAAATTGGAGTACATAGGCTTCAAATATTGACATAGTGGGCCTGGTTTGTAGAGACTTAATAAACCTTTATTGATTGAATGGATGTTGTAGTCTTTACAGGCATTACTCTCTTTTGTAACTTAAGGAGGGGAGGTATTCAAAAGGAGAGAAATTCAAGTCAATTGGCATTTGCCAAAGATAATTATAAATTTTAAGAACTTGAGGTTACCTCAAATATATATGTCAGGCTATAAATCTGCAACCAACCCTTATCTGGCAAAGATCCATGCCATTTGCTGCCATGTCAAAAAGAGAAGCACAGCTGTCAGTGAGCTCACTTAGTTCCTTCCGCTAATAATTTTATCTTTATACCTCTTCTAGCTCTTGTATATTTGTTGAACATAAAGCTTTAAGGAAATGAAAAGTACTTCCTCACAACTGAATGTTGGCCGATCCCATGCTATTCAAATATGGTAAAGCCCTGATTAGCTAGTATCCTTTTAATCTAAAACTAAGAATGTGCTTCAGTATTTCTTCAGTGTAAATCTTCATTCATCGCATTGTTTCATTCCTCTTGCAATTCTCCAAATATCAGGTGAACGGATTGCTTAGGTATTTTGGAATTGGAATGTCATACTCCAACATTCCTTCCCCACCTCCTATTTTATTTTTTTATAAAATCCTCATTTAAAAATCCTTATAGAGTCATGTACTAAATAGCTACCTCTTGAAGTTCTGGACAGAGTAGCAAAGTAAGCAGACTTTCTTTGGCCTCCTTATGGAAAGTTCTTTAGCACTCTGACCACTGGCTGTAGCTTTTACATTTTCTTCTATAAAAATTATGAAAAAAAAAAAACTATGGTGTGCTGTAACTTATTACATTGTAAAATAGATCAATGGGCTTTGGAGTTGAATCAGTTCAGATTCAATTCATTATAGTAGCTTTCCCTCCCTACGTGCATTTGAATGTTGGGCATATGTTCAAATACTATGAAAAGACAAGTGAAATTCTCTGTTCTGTATTGAGATAAACATAGCATTTTGCTTGTAGGCTTTTGCTAGCTTTGATTGTTTGATAGAGGAGATTTATAGCTCAGGTTGTCGAGTATTATAGGCCTTGCTATATTGTACTTTTAGTGCCTTTTAAATTCAGAGTCCAATTTTGGTATAGATTCCAATATAGTGGAAAGGCCAGGGGGAGCAATGAAGGGCTCTCATCTTAAAAGCAAGACCATGGGCTATGATAATTATCACAATGATACAATAATAATTATATAGTCCAGATCATTGCAGTGGAAGTATGGAAGTTACTCTGGACTAGCATCTCTTTTTCCTCCGGTGTCTCTGAGATGGTAGGATAAGCAAAGGCAGATGAATTTTATCTGTAGTCACCTAACATTGTGCAATAGAATGCATATTATTATTATTTTTTTAAGATTTTATTTATGTGACAGAGAGAGAAATCACAAGTAGGCGGAGAGGCAGGCAGAGAGAGAAAGAGAGGAGGAAGCAGGCTCCGCACTGAGCAGAGAGCCCGATACAGGGCTCAATCCCAGGACCCTGGGATCATGACCTGAGCTGAAGGCAGAGGCTTTAACCCATTGAGCCACCCAGGTGCCCCTAGAATGCATATTATTAAAGCAGTCATCCAACTTTATTTCATGTTGTTATTATTCCCATTTTTTTAAATCTTTTTTTTAATAGACTCTTATATCACCAACATCTACGCAAGCCTATCTTCTGCACTTAAAAAGCTAGCTGTAGGGTCACGTGTGTGGCTCAGTCGGTTTAGCCGGGTCATGATCCCAGGCTTCTGAGATTGAGCCCTGGGTCAGGCTCTGTGATCAGCGCAGAGTCTGCTGGAGATTCTCTCTCTCCCTCTGCCCCCCCCCCCAACTCGCTCACCTGCACATGCTCTTGCTCTCAAATAAATAAATAAAATCTTTTTTTTTTTTAAAGCTACCTCTAAATTCGATTAGTTGAGCTGATACCAGTTTCTTAGAGGTTATAAAAAGATACTTTTTCCTCAAAGTCGAACTTCCTGAAGGACTCATATATAATTTGACAGCTCCAATCTCGCATCATAGGGTAGCAGGAACTTTAGCTCATCCCTTAGGTACCAAGGCCACTGTCAGATTTTTCTGGTATTCAAACATCGTGTGTGTGTGTGCACCTGTGTTTTTTTTATTATAAATGTATTATGTCTTCATTATATACAGTTTAAAAATAATACAAGTATATAGACATGAGTGTGCCTCTCTTCTTGATCCCACTTCCCCAAAGGAGCCACTGTAAAGTTACTTAGTTTTGTGCATATAGAGACATGTATACATCTTTAAGTATATATATATGTAATTTCTCAAAAATATCATAGTATGCTTATTATTCTTTTAGTTAAATTATGAGGTGTGACTATCCTTCCATGACAGTAGGTCTAGTCTTCTGTATCCCATTTTAGACAATGGATTTCCCTATTCCCTTATTTTTTTGTTTTTAAGTAGGTTCCATGCCCAGTGTAGAGCCCAATGCAGGTCTTGAACTCATGACCCTGAGATTGTGACTGTGAGCTGAGAATAAGAGTCGCACACTTAACCAACTGAGCCACCCAAGCGCCCCTCCCTATTCCCTTATTGATGGACTTAGGTTCTGTCTAATTTTTTTGCAGTTTAAAGTGTCGTAGTAAGCATCCTTTGTGTTTATTTTTGCCTGTTTAAGAATAGTTTCCTAGAGTTAATATTGCCAGATCAGAAGGGATGCACTTTTAACATTTTGATACATGTTATCAAATGACCCTCCAGACAGCAAGAACAAATTTATAAGCCTGCTACTAGCATATGAGGGTTCATTTTTACTACATCTTCAACAACATAGTTACCCATTTATGATCCAGAGAAAACGAGTTGTAAATAATAAATCTCAAGATTATTTTATATTGACTTTGATTTATGGCTTCTACAAATAGCCTTCAAAAATAGGTGCTTTTAGAATTTTCCTTTTATCATTCCAAACCTGTTCAGATATGAAATGTTCTGTCAAGACAAGACAATTCCTTTTTTATTATTACAGGTGTGAATTATCTTTTTAAGGAATTTACTTTTTTATTTGTTGCCAAATACTTCTCCTCTTGAATATTCCTTATGTGACTGACCCAAGTTAGAATATTCATCTCAAAAGCTTACTCTTTAATGTTGGAATTCAGGGAGCAGCTATTGAATATGTAATTCTCTTTGCTGAAATTTTTGTGCTATCACTTTTGAAATACACCTTGAGTTTTACTGAACACCTAATTTTGGTTGTAATGGTGGTTGAACAGTAATTTAAAGCATATTAAGGGAAACTTTATGAATTCAAACAAATGTTGATGAAGTCTGAGCTTTGTTTATTGCTTGCTTGCTTACAGGTGGATTCACCAATGAACTTGAAGCATCCCCATGACTTAGTCATATTAATGAGACAAGAAACAACAGTTAACTACCTCAAAGAATTGGAGGTGAGATGGTGGAAACGTGATATGCAGTTGAAACTTGTTGCATTTCACAGGAGCTCCTGTAATAAAAAAAAAAAAATGAAAGTGTATTATTTCTTAAGCCCAGTTCTTCTCAGTTTCATATATACTTTTAATCACATTTTTTAAAGTAACATCTAATTAGAACGACATTTGAGTGATAGTAAGAGAAACAGACTAACCCGAGTTTTGCCTGATTCTTGACTAATATATAATTGACCAGGGATTCCATGTGTAAGTTTTTCCATCAAGTATGAAAAGGAATGATCTCTGTGCATACACTTGAAAGGAGAGTTTGGGTAAAATACAAAATGATTTCATTACTTATCAAAATGTATTTTTTATTAATTCCCAAGTAGAGTCTTGTTATTGTGTGTTTTTATGGTGAGTTGAAAGCATTAATGACCTTGCACTTTGAAAACTTTGAAATCTATTAGTACTAATAAAGTCTGACCTTTTTGTTTCTATCATTGATTTCCATAAATTGATTTTGCTTTATAACAAACAATATTTGTTATTTGAAAAAGTAGGAATAAGACAATAGGTATATTTATACAGCATTGTGCTTGGAAGCTTTATCTGTTTTTATTAAAAACAGTGTTCCAAAAATGCAGTGGTACAGAAAGTAGTTTTTATTTTCAGATGCATATACACATTGTATATGTTTATTGCCATTCTCTTGTTAAGAGGCAGTAAATGAGGCTATATGAAGGGAGAAAATGGCATTTACCATGTCAATGAAAATGAAAAATGTTGACTCCATCCGTTTTTGATTAAGGTAGTAGGGATTGTGGGGTAAAGGTACAGTCTAGAGATATAAATTTGTTAGTCTTTGAAATACATACTTAAAGTCATGAAACTAAATAATACCATGTGTCTACAAAGTGGTGACAGTGAGATGGACTTCTTAAAGTGCCAGAAGATAGTGGAGGAATAGCCTTACAGTGCTATGGGAAAATCATTCAAACTAGAATTTTATGTTCTTTTAAGCCATCATTCAAGAGTGAGGGCAAAGCAAAGATGTTTTCTGACAGAGTTTACTTACCGTGGACTCGCTTTTTAAAAAAGTCAAAGACGTACTTCTACAAGAAGAAAAATAAACCTAGGAGATATGCAAAGGATGTATAATGATGAGTACAAATACTGATGAAGAAGTTGCTAAACTTATTTAATTTTTTATTTTTTTGCCCTTTGAAAGGTAAAGCTAGGTAAAAATAATACATAGTTGGGTTGAAGCCTGTTCAGTGATTAGTTAAAGCCTGTTAGACTCTTCTGTCATGTTTAAGAGAAGGTAGAACTAACTGAACAAATTAAAATCCTGTTGGAAAATTTATGGGCAAACATACTGATATCTTAAGAGTATTGCTACCTAACAAGTATTTTTGCCAAAAGAAATGTGAATCGAATCCACTTATTTTCCAGTGTCATTTTCAGTATAACTGGTTTCCTTTCTCATTCTACATATGTTATTTTATGTATTTAAAAGATGACTCTCAGAAGGGATCTACAGCTTTCATCAAACTGCCAAAGAAGTCTGTGACACAAAAGAGTTAAGAACCCCTGGATCCTGCTGTCAATATTCAGGAAATACAGAGGACAAAGAAAGGGACATGTTAAATGAACCAAGGAGATGCAGTCAGCAAAATCCTGTAGAATGGCAGACTCCGCAGAACAAATGACTCAACATGTTTAACAAATAAATTACAGGGATTAAAACTATAGATTACATTTCTGTTATTCTAGTGCTTGCCTTATCTTTTTACTTTATTGGGTTTTTTTATCAGTAAATATTTTATTTATGACATTAGGATAGGAAGGATTCCTTAAATGACATAGAAATCACAATTAAGAAAACAGCTGATAGTTTTGACCATCTTAAGACTAAAAGTTTCTCTTTAGCAAGTGACACCATGAACAAAATTAAAACATAAGCTGTAAACTGGGAGAAGATATTTGCAGTACATATCACTGATAAAGACCGAGTTTACAAAATCACTCTTCTAAATTTCTGCAAATCAATTTAAAAAAACTGGAGAAAAATAGGCAGATTTGGAAAGTCAAGTTATAAAATACAAACATATGAAAATATGTTCAATCAGATTAATGATTGCATTAGTTAAGATAGGCTCCATTTTGCAGTATATGACAACTTTTGCAACAGATAGTCCCAAAAATCTCAGTGTTATTTCATGGAGGAAGCTAGAGGTTCAAGGAAGAGTAACCAAACATACGAGCCTGTTTCAAGTTTCTACTTAGAAGTGACGTCATTTCTACTCACATTCCATCGTCTAGATCAAGTCACATGGACAAGCCTGAAGTCATAGGGCAATGTATAGTACAGCCTACCTACAGGGAAAGAGTCGGGAGGGAATGAGTAAGTAGAAACAGATCATTTAGTAACATCCCAATAATCTTCATGGCTTAAAACAATGAGGTCGTATTAAATGTCACTCTGGTCCAAATGCCAGAACCCAGGCTGACAGCACAGCCGCTGTCTGGCATACTGCCATTCTCAGTACTGGAAGGAAAAGAAAGAACATAGTAGGGGCGTGTGGATGGCTCAGTGGGTTAAGCCTCTGCCTTTGGCTCAGGTCATGATCTCAGGGTCCTGGGATCGAGCCCTACATTGGGCTCTCTGCTCAGCAGGGAGCCTGATTCCTCTCTCTTTCTGATTGCCTCTCTGCCTACTTGTGCTCTCTCTCTCTCTCTCTCTCTCTCTCTCGATCAAATAAATAAATAAATCTTAAAAAAAAAAAGAACATAGTAAAGCATACACTGGTTCTAAACATGTTTCTCTTCAGAGGATTCCATTGCACATCTCATGTTATATGTGTCAAGGTGAGTCATACTGGCCACATCTGAGTTCAGCAGAACAGTGATGTGTAGGCTCCTTTGTAAGGAGTTGCAGCAGATTCATTAAGAATAATACAGTCTAGGGGCGCCTGGGTGGCTCAGTGGGTTGAAGCCTCTGCCTTCGGCTCGGGTCGTGGTCCCGGGGTCCTGGGATCGAGTCCCGCGTGGGGCTCTCTGCTCAGCAGGGAGCCTGCTTCCCTTCCTCTCTCTCTGCCTGCCTCTCTGCCTACCTCTCTGCCTACTGGTGATCTCTGTCTGTCAAATAAATAATAAAGAAAATCTTTAAAAAAAAAAAAAAGAATAATACAGTCTACCCCAATAATCATAACATTTAATGCCCATCAAGTTGACATAAATTAAAAATGTGATGTTGGTAAGTTTGTGGGGATATGGGTATTGTCATTATCTGTTGGTAGAATTCTAGTGGTTATACCAACTTTGAAAGGCAGAAAGTACCTAAATCAGAAAATGTGGATCCCATATGACCTCTGCGTCCCATATTTTTACCCCTTCTGGGTCTTTTACACATGTGCAGCAGGAGGCTTTTATAAGAATATCACAGCATTTTTAGTAGCAAAAAGATAAAGAAGCAACCTAAAGGTTTACAGAAAAGTGGATAAAAACATTTTTATATGTTTGTTAAAATGAAAAATTTAGAACTATACTGATCACTGTAGTTAAATCCTAAAAACATGAAGTTAAAAAAATAAGTTGTAGAATGATATGGGATGATCCTGTTAACATAAAGGTTTTAAAGGTAGAAATCAATGTTAGATGTTGATTTGGGACATATATATGGATATATATGCATAATATTTTAAGAGAATAAGTGTAATAAAGTGATATTTTATAAAGATACACACAGAAATGATACGTCAAACAAATTCAGCATAGTGGTAACTTTGGGAAGGGAGAGAGGGATTTTGAAGGCAGTAAAGAATGGTTTCAACTACCTTGTTTTTCCTTTTTAAAAAATCTGAAATGAGTATGGCAAATGTTATCATATGGTAGATGTGGGTGGTGGAAACATAGGTTTTTATGTAATAATTCGATATGTTTAAAAAAAATTGTGAGTAGCAGGAATTTACCTGGAGTACAGGACATTAGGGGAAATTATTCCAGTCCACATTATCAACATGCTGGATATCTTGAAGGACTGAAATACGATGTATGGACAATTCAAAGTAGTTTTAATTTCTGAGCCATTTTGTTCCAGGGAAGTTAGATTGATAGATGCAGCTTTATAGGTAGTCAGAGATCTATTATGAAGGTATTCAGCTGCCATTATTATAAATGTCATATAATATTACTTTCTATATATGGACACCTGTTTAGAGAAGCTTATTTATATCAGCAAATTAATTCCCCCTTATCCACAGTTTTGTGTTCTGTGGTTTCAGTTACCCATGGGTCAGCCTTGGTCCAGAAGCAGATGATCCTCCTTCTGACCTATCCTCAGAAGGTCAATAATAGTCTAACACTGTGTCACAATGCCTGCATCATCCACCTTATTTCATCTTATCATGTAGGCGTTTTATTATCTCATATTACCCCAAGACGGATGAGTACAGTACAATAAGATGCTTTGAGAGAAAGACCACATCACCTAACTTTTATTACAGTATAACGTTGTAATTGTTCTATTTTATTATTAGTTATTGTTAATCTCTTACTGTGCTTAATTTATAAATTAAACTTCATTATAGATATATATGTATAGCAAAAAATACAGTATAGGGACGCCTGGGTGGCTCAGTTGGTTAAGCGGCTGCCTTCGGCTCAGGTCATGATCCCAGCATCCTGGGATCGAGTCCCGCATCGGGTTCCTTGCTTGGCGGGGAGCCTGCTTCTCCCTCTGCCTCTGCCTGCCACTCTGTCTGCCTGTGCTCGCTCTCGCTTCTCTCTCTATGACAAATAAATAAATAAAATGTTTTAAAAAAAATACAGTATATATAGGTTTTATTACTATCTGTGGTTTTGGGTCTCCACTGGGAGTCTTAGAATATACCCCTACAGGTAAGGGGGGACTTCTGTGTTCAGAATCCTTATCTTCCTTCATAGAGGATTTTTCTGACTTCAACACATTAAATTCTCCCTTCTCTTATGTGTTGTCTAGACTGAAATATTAGAAAAATCCATTGTGTTCTCATTGTCTTCTCAACAGAAGCAATTAGTTGCTCAAAAAATTCATATAGAAGAGAATGAGGACAGAGATACTGGACTGGAACAGAGACATAATAAAGAGGATCCAGACTGCATCAAAGCCAAGGTGCCCTTAGGGGACCTGGATCTGTATGATGGCACATACATAACTTTGGAAAGCAAAGACATCAGGTAAAGAAATTCTCTTTCCAGAAATAAAATTAATGTTTTCCTGAATAGACCTTTCTCAGATTGGTAAGAAATTATTTATCAAAGTGGATAAGCTTCAGTCACAGATGAGTTTATTGAAATTTGAAAGTTTAAAATACATGTAGGACTTTTAAATATCAATTAAAAATACTTAATACCACAGAAGATTGAACAACTTATAGGAAAAGAAATACAAATGGCCAACAAACATGTGGAAGATCTGTCTCTCAGTAATGATCAAGTAAGTACAAAATAAACCATTTAGATAGTTTTCACCTCTCAAATTGGAAAAAATATTTAAAAATCAGTAACTAGTAAAAATGTGGAGAGGCTGTCAACAGAAGTGTAAATCGGTTTAACATTTCTGGGAAGAATATTGAAAAACTTTTTAAAAAGTTCATAATCCTGGCATTCTTTGGTCTACCTGCTGTTTTCTCTCTTTTGATTTATCTCCTTTAAGTTAAACTCCTAAAATACTGCCTCCCAACAGTTGCTGTGTGAGAAAGGTTGAATGTGGACTAATACTGGTTGTAAAGATGAGATGCTAGGAGAGTATAGTTCAGTCAGGGAAAAACTAGACATTTTTTCACCTTTCATTGATTTATTGCCCCTGGCTTCTTGATTTTAGCCCTGAAGATTATATAGACACAGAATCTCCTGTCCCTCCAGACCCTGAGCAACCTGATTGTACCAAAATTCTAGAACTTCCATATAGTATACATGCTTTTCAACATCTACGAGTAAGTAGAGAGATTTGGGATTTTTTTTTTTTTTACATTTTTTTCTGTAATTTAGTCTCCTGCTTATAAATATTTTTTCTTTCTTCTCCCCTTCCAAACAGATTTATAATTTTACAAACATCTCCTATTTCTTAAAACTCCTTTAAAATAAGTGCTATAAGATACTGAGTTACTTGTGAGCTTTCGTCTTATGATCTCCTTTTTCTGGGTGTGTGGTTTTTGTTTTGTTTTTTTCATTTTTTTTCTTCTCTTCAGGGTGTACAAGAGAGAGTTAATCTTTCTGCACCTCTATTACCTAAAGAAGATCCAATCTTCACATATTTATCTAAACGACTAGGAAGAAGTATAGATGACATAGGTCACCTCATTCATGAAGGGCTGCAGAAGGTAAGTCATCAGTGATTGAAAGGGCTAGAGATTCTGTGTGCAGACGGTCTTTTTTTCTCAGAAAATAATCTGCCTAGATTATTTTTGTCTAGAGAGTGATTTTAAATATGGTTACATTAATATAAACTATATGGTTCAAAGCTAGGGAGAAACATTGGTAGTCTAGTCCCCTCTACCAGGAAGGGATGCCAAAAGTTTTATTTAAACTAATTCATGAAAAAGCAAATTATAAGCCAACATAAACAACAGGGCTTATAGGCTAGATTATATATTTTGAATGTGAAAGAAAATTTAACATTAGCGTCTTTGAAATATTTACCCAGTACATAGATCATCACTGTTCTCTGGACAAGAAAACAATCACTACCAACAATAAAGTCTTCTGATAATTTTCTTTTAAGGAACCATCTACTTTTAAAAACATGAAATAGAGAATTAAATTACGTAACAGCACACAAGAAATTAAATGTGTCATTCAGCATGACGTGTGGGAATTTAGAAAGCAGGTTTTTTTTTTTAACTCTTCTTGTGTCTGAGTTGTATCATAAAATGTAGGCTAGTGTCTTCCCTCCCTCCATCCCTCTCTCCCTTTCTTTCTTTCCTTTCTTAAAAAAAAAAAAATTATTTATTCATTTATTCAAAAAAGAGTAAGCGAGGGACACCAGGGTGGCTCAGTCAATTAAGCCGCCTTTGGCCCAGGGATCAAGTCCCGCATCGGGTTCCTTGCTCAGTGGGGAGCCTGCTTCTCTCTCTGCCTTTGCCTGCCACTCTGCCGACTTGTGGGCTCTCTCTCTACCCCCCCAGCCCCGATAAATAAATAAATAAATAGTTTTTTTTTGTTTTTTTTTTTTTTTTTAAAGAGAGAGAGAGCAGGCACATAAGAGCCGGGGTAACGGGCAGAGGAGGAGGAAGAGAAAGAGAATCTGAAACAGGCTCCACACCCAGTGTGGAACCTGACGCAGGGCTCAATCCCATGATCCCGAGATCACAACTGGAGCCAAAACCAAGAGCAGAATGCTTAATTGACTGAGCCACCCTGGTGCCCCAAAATGGAGGCTAGTTTTTAAGCAGTATTATAATGGTACTAGGTAAAATGTGAACGGGCAACATTTATATAGAGTTTATTATATGTTTATATGTTTATTCAAATACGACATATATATATATTTTGATGATTTTACAGCCAAGTTACTGTCTTCATCTTGTTTTTCTGAAGGTAATGTAAAACATTGCATCCCCAGAACTTGATGAGTAATAAAAACTACCTAGGAAAACTGGCCTAGGATTTAAAATACCTTCAGAGGATGGTTAGTTGAAAATAGATCATAGTGGTAAGTTCTCTATAGAAAATTAAGGTAGAGGGTAATTGTGTGGCTACTTTAGATTGAACAGTTAGGGTCATCCTCTCTCTAAAGGTGAAATTTAAGCTAATACCTGAATGACAAGAAGGAACCAAAAGTCAGCAGTCAAGGAAGAGCATTCTAAGCCAAGGCAAAGGCTCTGAAGACTTTATGAGCTCAGTAGTGTAGTAGTCTGCTTAGGCTGCCATCATAAAATACCACAGACTGGGTGGCTTAAACAACAGAAACTTCTTTCTCATAGTTGTGAACGTTGGGGAGTCCAGGATAAGGTGCTGGCTGATTCATTCCTGCTGAGGACTTTCTTCCTGCCTTGCAGATGACCACCTTCTCACTGTGTCCTCACATGTCCCCTTCTCTGTGTGTGGGGGGGGGAGAGATCTGATATGTTTTCCTCTTCTTATGAAGGAACTGGCCTTATTGGATTAGGGCCCTACTCTTAGGATCTCATTTAACCTTTAGCACCTCGTTCTAGGCCCAGTCTTCATGTACAGTCACACTGGGGGTTAGGGCTTCCACATGTAAATTGACAGGGTCGGGGGGCAGGGAGAGACACCAAAATTCAGTCTTTAACAGGTGAAGCTCCCTAAGGTTGGAGCCTAGTGAGGAAAGGAGAGGAAAGGAGCCAAAGATGTAGACCAGGGCCAGACTAAGCAGGCCTCTGAAAACTAGAGTAAGGACTCTGTGCGCTGAGACTTGAGTGCTGGGAGGCTAGAGTGGAGGAATGACATAATTCAATTAATTTTTTTTTAAAGATTTTATTTATTTATTTGACAGAGACACACACAGTGAGAGAGGGAACACAAGCAGGGGGAGGGGAGAGGGAGAAGCAGGCTTCCTGCAGGGCAGGGAGCCCGATGTAGGACTGGACCCCAGTACCCTGGGATCATGACCTGAGCCGAAGGCAAACGCTTAACGACTGAGCCACCCAGGTGCCCCGCAATTACTATTTTTAAAAATATACTCTTAAACTTAGTTGGAGAAATGACTGAAGGAACCCAAACTGAAAACAGAGAGACTAGTTCTAAGGCTGTGGGCAGTAATTCATGAGAGAGATGACATAGCTTGGACTAAAATGGTTAGTATTGGAAATGGAGGGACTTAAACTGTTTCAGGAAATGTTTAGAAGTTTAGAAGCTGATGAGTTAGATGTGGGGAATGAAGGGAATAGAGGAATTGAGAATAATTCCTGAAGTCCTGGCATGAACAACTTGAAGGAAGAGCAGTGTTGGGGTAGAGGAACAGAAGATAGAGTCTGCTTTGTCACATTAAATTTTGAAATACCTGGGGCCCCTGGGTGGCTCAGTGGGTTAAAGCCTCTGCCTTCAGCTCAGGTCATGATCCCAGGATCCTGGGATTGAGCCCTGCCTGGGGCTCTCTTCTCAGCAGGGAGTCTGTGTCTGCCTCTTCCTCTGCCCCTCCCACTGTTTGTGCTCTCCTGCGCCTGCTCTCTCTGTCTCAAATAAATAAATAAATCTAAAATAAATAAATAAATAAATATTTTTTAAAAAAAGAAAATGAATCAGGCACTCAGCCTGCTGCCCCCTCTCTCTCTGCCTGCCTCTCTGCCTACTCGTGATCTCTGTCAAATAAATAAATAAAATCTTTTAAAAAAATACCTAGAAGAGACTTGAGCTCCAGGAGGTTCAGAGCTGGATAGATAGATAAAGGATAGTTAAGTAGGGAGTGTTTGTAGCCATGGGACTGGATGAGCTCATCTAGAGGAGAGGGAAGTTTGAGAAGAGGCCACTCTGAGTCCCTGGTCCTTCCATAGTTAGCTGTCAAGCATAGGGGGAGAGTTCAGCAAAAGAGATCCAAAAGGGTATCCAGAAGAATGCGGTCTCCTAAAAGCCAAGGGAAAAGGTGTCCAAGAGGAGAAAGTATTGACGGTGAAATTTTATGAGAAATCTTACAGAAAAATTTCTCCTTTAAAGATGTGTTTTTCTCTTACTTCCAATATATTGTGATTTCTCTTACTTCCAATATATTCCAATATATACTTCATACATATATATATATATATATATATATACACACACACACATACATACATACACACACATGTATAGACCATCATAGTCTACTTATCACAGTGTTTTCACTTATTCCTATAGAATTTGTAATCGATTTTTTTGGTCCCAATTCACAAAGTCTGAATGTAAGAGATAAAAATCAAAGCATTTGTTAATTTGAAAAAAACTTTCTCAAAGGGCTGTCAAAACAGACTGAAACCTAAGTCTTAAGTCAGATCTGAAAGAATGTGGCACATATCCCTTAACAACATACACAAGTGTTATACCCTTATTTGCATCACTTGCAAATTCTATACATTTCTTGAAGAGGGAATACTTAAAGCTGATTAATGCAGAATTATACTTAGTTTTAATATTAAAAATAACTCTTTTTGAAGAAAATAATTTGTCCTTGTGGAAAAAATTCAGACTACATAAATCTAGAAAAGAGAAAATTAAAAAAAAATTCAGAGATCATTACTATCTTACAATGTAATCTTTTTATTTTTATTTTTACACATCTTTATAGTTAAAAGTTATTTTCGTAATTTTTTTTTTTTTTTTTTTTAAGAGAGCGAGAACACAGGGGCGGTAGGCAGGTGATGGGCAGAGAGAGGGATTGTGAGATTCTTTAAGCAGGTTCTGCGCTCCGAGCCTGATGCAGGGCTTCATCTCATTTTCCTGAGGTCATGACCTGAGCCAAATCAAGAGCTGGGCGCTTAACTCACTGAGACACCCAGGTGCCCCTAAAATTTTAATAGTGGAATTGTGGGCATCAAAGTGTAATCATCTTTTAAGGCTTTTTACATAATGTTGCAAACTGTGCCCCAGAAATGTTGCATTCACCTAACATTTCTACGGTTAATATCTGAAGTTAATATACTCACAACTCAAAGTATAGCCCACAATGAGTGGGCATTCTTTTTAATCTTTGCGAATTTATAAAAGGAAAATTTGTATCTTTTTTCTTTATATTCTTCATTAAGTTATACATCATTTTCCTGCTAATTGCCCATTGTTTTGAACTTTTGAATTTGTCTCTGCATGTTTTTGACCCATATTCTCTTGTATTTTGTCTTGTATTCTTGTCTTTCTTTTTTAGAGCTCTTTATGTATTAAAGATAGTAAACAGTAGTTGTCATATATACTTTACCCAATTTATCTTAAATTTTATAACTTTTTTTTTAACTTCATATGACTTCTTTTTGCCATGCCAAATTTGAAATTTCTCTACATGGGCTTAAACGATTTACACTGAGTTTTTGTATGGTCCAGTTCAGTGTTTAGACCTCTGTGTGGTTGAAATTAGTATATGTTATGAATCCAAGCCACAGAAGAAGCAAACCTATCTCAATTTCTGTTTAACTTCACTAAATAATACACTTACTACTCTATACTAAAGACATAATTTTTAACAGTGAAGGTTTGGATTGTGAACACAGATGAAAGAAGAACAAATAAAAATTCATTGTTTACAAAAGGATAAGCCTGCCTTTTGCTTACATATGTACCTTCATTCAGATATTTAAATAAATAGGAAACTTTGTTAACTTGAGGAATTTCATGTTGGAACAACTGGCATTTCTAAGTAGGTTAGGTCCTAACTTCTAAAGTCCTGAAATAGGAATCAACAAGTTTGGGTCACTTGGTGGGCTTTTCAGCTTAATTTCCCTCTTGGAGCAAGAGCTTGAATTTGAGTGGTCTCTCCATGGAGATGACACCTGAAGGCACATACTTGCTCTGCTGGTGATCAGGAGGCTCCTTTGACAGATGTAGTTTCTTGGTACTTTGTCCCCTGCTTATTCATTGGTGTAATGTCTTGTTCTTCAGCTTATATTTCAGAAGAGGCAGAATAGTGAAGGTGCTGATTTTGAACATTCTGAGTCGAAGAAAGTGTGATGAGTTGTGTTGGATTGTTCTCTTATTTGTTTAATCTCTAGAATTCTTCCTCATGGGTACTGTATAATATGGCTTCATTTTATTGGAGAATAAAGAATGAGCCATATCAAGTAGTGGAATGTGCCATGCGAGCACTTCACTTCTCTTCCAGGTAAGTTTTCTCCCTTTCTGGATTTCCTGACTCTCCATATAAATCAAGACTGGTAAAGAAGCAGCACATAAGAAAGCAATATGAAGAAGCATTGTGTTGTACTTAACACTCTCCTCTGTATGTGTTCAAAGAATTTAGTCCCATCACAAAAAAATGACAGATGTCAAAGAGTTTCGTTGTTAATAGCACAGTATCTTTCTGATTTCCGTTAAGGAAAAAATATATAATGTAGAGGCCCTCTGGTTCACTTGAAACTTGACGATAAGGACCTTGCCTGGAGGAATTAGCATAAATTAAATTTTTCTCAAAGCAAATAATGAGCCCTAAATACATTTTACAGCCATAAAGTATCTGCCCAACCTTATTTCTATGGCAAAATTCATAGCTGTCAGATTGAATAAGCACCATCAGTTATATAAAAATGGAACAGTAGGATTTTCTTCAATTATTTTTTCTATCAGTACACTCAAAGTTATTTTTCTAAGTTCAATAACTTCGAATGTAATGTTCTCTTGTTAAATAGTTACACGGAGTCACGGAGCACACGCGTCTCTCCTAACACCGAATTGCACCTCTCCTTCTCTTGTAGGCACAATAAAGACATTGCCCTGGTCAACTTGGCAAATGTGCTGCACAGAGCACACTTCTCTGCAGATGCTGCTGTGGTGGTCCACGCAGCCCTGGATGACAGTGACTTCTTCACCAGCTATTACACTTTGGGAAATATATATGCAGTAAATACAACTTTGTGTTTTCATGAGCTAAACCAGTTGCTATTTCCTTTTCTTTTTAAAAAAATTTTATTTTCAACTAAAAAATTACCTTTTTTCCCTCTTTTGGTCTGAACGAGGAAAAGGGAATGGAAATGAAGAAATTAGGGGGAAAATACCTCAACATAATAATGTATCGTAATGGTCCTAGCCTCTTGACAAAAAAGAAAAATAATTAAATTGATAGGAGTCTTAAATTCCTACAGAGTACCCCTCTGAAGATAGCACTACTTTCTAGTTAAGCAATCTTACAGCATATCTTATGTTGTGGATTTGGTCACTGATCAAAAATAGTGTTCACCAGGGGCACCTGGATGGCTCAGATGGTTAAGCGTCTGCTTTGGCTCAAGTCATGATCTCCAGGACCCAGGATCAAGCCCCACCTTGGGCTCCTACCTTAGTGGGGAGTCTGCTGCTCCCTCTCCCTCTGCCTCTCCCCTGTCCCTCCCCCTGCTAGTGCTCTGTCTCTCTGTCTCTCTCAAATGAATAAATAAATAAAACAAAACAAAATTATTAAAAATAATGTTCACCGTAGAGTGAGATGTAGGTGTGATCTTGTAAGTCGTTAGGGGGCTTGGGCAGGTCCAACCATGCCGTGACTAATGTTTTCCTCCTGTGTGTGTATATGTGTATGTGTGTGTGTGTGTGTGTGTGTGTTTTTGTCTCTTCAGATGCTGGGGGAGTATAACCACTCAGTGCTCTGTTATGACCATGCTTTGCAGGCCAAACCTGGCTTTGAGCAAGCTATAAAGAGGAAGCATGCTGTCCTTTGTCAGCAAAAACTCGAGCAGAAATTGGAAGCTCAACATAGGTAATTGGGAGAGAAAATGTTACTGAAGCCATAGCACTCTAGAACCATAAGCTAGACCCGTGTAGGGTAATGCCCGTGTTAATTTGTTCATAAGAATTAAAAACACCTCTTCACTGCTGCTAGTCCTATCCCTTTTCTTCAGATCCAGGGTGGGTTAGCACAACTCAGAGGTTGTGTAGAGGAATCTTTAATAGTATGAGTTCCAGGAACTAGAGAATATTTGCAGTAAATTCTGTCATTTAGGTCTTTATACTTTGACCATCAGTTACTTTTATGATGGAGTAGGGGCACTGCCAGATAATTAGAAATTCGGTTATGTTTTAGTTTCCACAGAATACATTGTCAGAAAAATAACTTGCACATGCTGTATTTGCTCTTTCTCCCCGTTAGATGCTAGGATTGGACTAATGTTACATTAGTTAAGTGACACTGAGAAACATTATTTGGCCCATATTTTAATCCAATTTCTGTAAATTGTGCAGTGATGAAGTGCTGTTGTACTTGGTCCTTGCAATATACTCAATAAAAATGTATTTGATTCCATAAATAGTAGGGCCAGTTAGGAAACTTCACATAACTTGAAATGAATTATTCTTACGGAATTAGCCTCCATGTTTTGAGGTAGTTTTTGATTATTAGAGAATTAAATGGAGATTTAGAACTCATTAAACTATTGCATTTCCTTATTTTCCAATCATTTTAAAGCATAATGTGGTGAAAAGGAAGGAATGACCACTTACTTGTTTATACTGACTTCTATTACACCTGATCAGAACTTGTCCTGGCTGAGCAAATTGGTTCTCCCGTACACAATCTGTACAGCTCGTAAATCTCCATATGTTATGATGTAGTAGGTAAAAATGATTCTGTGACTGAATATAATCAGGCAGCTGATTTATTGATACCAGGTGGTACACAAAATGTGTTTCTAAGCCGGGTTTGTGTGGTTTTTTTCCAAAAATCCACAAACACAAGGAGCTAGAGGTTAAGAGCAAGGTGCTGTTGGCCCTTTCTCTTAACCTTGTCTTTATGTAGAATCAAAAGAAAAGATGAAAAGGTGGCAGTAGAACTAACACAGACTTTGTGGGGGGAAGTAGAATAGTTGTTGAATATGTCAATATGTATGAATATGAAATAGAATAGTTGTTGAATATGTCAAGATTTATAGTGTGTTGCTATATCTTTTGGGTACCTGAACAGTCCAACACACCATTTAATGTCAAAAGAGCCCTTTGTAAGGGAAGAACTTTGCATCCATCTTTTTGCCACTAACTTTTAATAAAATAATAGATTTATTTTGCCCCCATTATTTTTAAATTTGTGGTGCAGTGGTTGTATGTTAAAAGGAAAAAACTAGCAATTATTGCTGAGGACCAGAAAAAAATCTATACAGTATGTGAGTTTAAAAATTCAGTTTTAGGAGCACCTGGGTGGCTCAGTGGGTTAAGCCTCTGCCTTCAGCTCAGGTCATGATCTTAGAGTCCTGGGATCAAGCCCCGCACCAGGCTCTCTGCTCAGCAGGGAGCCTGCTTCCCCCTCTCTCTGCCTGCCTCTCTGCCTACTTGTAATTTCTGTCTGTCAAATAAATAAATAAATAAATAATTTTTTTAAAAAGTTCTAAAAATTCCATTTTAAAGCTCTATAACTTTTTCCTGGTGTTAAAAAATGTTAAGATCCCTCCAGCGAACACTGAATGAGTTGAAAGAATATCAAAAACAGCATGACCACTACCTGAGACAACAGGAGATCCTAGAAAAACATAAGCTGATTCAGGAAGAGCAAATCTTAAGAAATATCATCCACGAGACACAGATGGCAAAAGAGGCACAGTTAGGTGAGTATTAATTCCAAATAAAGACAGTTTAGGAAGTTTACTTCTAGCATGTTCTACTTTTATAACTTTTGTGTAGCCCTAAAGCAGTATAAAGTTGTGCTTATGACTTCCCTCAGTCTTAAAATCGAGTCTTCATCAAGTTTTTTTTTAATTCACATTTTAAAGTAAAAATTAAATCTTTTCAATCTTAGAAGTCTTAACAACAGTTGTTTGATTTAGTAAGCATGCCGATCTCTTGGAGACCTTGTTAAAATACAGATTCTTCTGAGGTAGGACCTGAGATTCTGAATTTCTAGCAAGCTCCTATTTGATGTCTGTTTTTGCTGGTCTGAAAACACAATGTGAGTAACATGGCCTTATACCAAGTAAACACAAGCCACACACACCCTTGAAACAAACCATCTACTGTCAAGCCAACACTGGCAATAAGGCTGTCTTATTTTTCTTCCTCCCTTAAAAACAAATATTTTATTTTAGAAGTAAGATTTTAGGCTAGAATTTGTCTCAAGCAGGAACTCTTAACTTTGGTCAGTGGATTAATTTCATGAGATTCCGAAATCCTCCCCCAAAATTATATGCTGTAATATGTATGTACACAATTTTTTTTCTGGGAAGAAGGCATATAGCTTTTATTAAAATCTCTCAGAGTCCATGACCCAGAAGTTAGAACCACTGTCTAAGGACACTTGGGTTGACAGGATATCAGCGACTTGGTTATATCCAGAATGTTTCACTTCTAATAAAACCCTAAGGGAGCAGATCTAACAGCTGACACCAAAGAATAAATTAATAGAATATTGATATGGAAGGTCTCTTAAATCTTTGAACCTTAGCTGTGACCATTTAAAGTCCGTTTTATAATCCACGTACTAGGTTTTCTTTACTATTTTGAGTATAAAGAATATGTTCAGTTCTTTGGGTTATTTACTGCTTGCTCTATATTACAATGTAACCAGAGCTCTTGTAATAATTTTGAAACAGAATTATGAAGTATATAAAGCAGATTGTCTCCAGAGAGATGGCAAAAGTCTCTTAAAACAATGTAATTGATAGATTTTACTGTCACAGAATGTAATTACCAGAAGATATTTTGGTGATTTAGTGGAACCCCTTTGTTTTTTATAGTTAGAGAAACTGAGACTTCTTTAGAACGATTTAATTTAGCTAACTATTAATGAGTGTTTCCGTGTATGGTACCCCCTGTGTAAGTACTTTGCCAGGCTCTGGAACGAAGTGACTCAGACCAAAGAAACCATGTTGGCGTTGCTGATGTTTCTCAAAAATTGTAATTTCTTTTCTTATTCCAGGAAATCATCAGATATGCCGTCTGGTCAACCAGCAGCATAGTTTACATTGCCAGTGGGACCAACCTGTGCGCTACCATCGTGGAGATATTTTTGAAAATGTGGACCATGTTCAGGTCTTTTTCTTGCTGTCTTCTAGTTCTTATAACTTTGCATATCTAAGAGTAATACTGCTTAATATCGCTTTTCCCCCTTGATTCCTTGTATATTTGATCCCCAAATTTGTTACTAATTTAAGATTTTGAGTGTGTTTATGAAGTCAGATTTTATAGATAGTACTCAGTTACTTCTTGCATGACATTTCCAGTCCCCCCAAGGACAGGCTGTATATGTCTTTGTTTCTTTTCTCCTTTACCATGAGAGCTAGATTGGGCTGTATTTAACTCAAAGCCTTCATCTCCCTTTTAACTTGCTGGAGTAAGACCAGTAATTTAAAATTTGGGAAAGAGTAGCCATGCTCTTTCCTTGAGTCATCAGTCCAGTTATGTTGCTTCAACTAAAAACATTAACAAAATGATCATTATCAACAGAAAATTTTTATTAAGCACTGTTGCTACATGGCATGGGTATTTTCTCTCTCTTTCTTTCTCTGTGAGTATCCATACATAGACATGTGTGTATACACACACACACACACACACACACACACACACACACATATGCATGAAGTCATATTCATACAATCCTAGGCTAACTAGTTGGGAAGAAATAATACATATATTTAATGATACCAGAGGGCATCTAATTGGACTGATAGCAGATAGTAAGCACAACCAGAGTTCCAAATATCATCCAAAAGGATGTTGGAAATAAAGTGAAGTTTATCATATCCTATTGAAACCTATCATATCTTTAATCATAGATACAGGAATTTCCAGAGATGAGCAGTTAAGATAATTAATAGATCAGAACAGCTTCTATAGGAGGACAAACGATGAAGAATTAGTACTCTTTAGTCTGAAAAAACCCAGAACTCATTGAGAAAAAGAAGCAAAAATTAAGAGGCCGTTTAGGGGAGTATTAATAATGAAGACCAAATGCTTCCCATGATTTTTGTCAACTAGTTCCTAACAGTATCCCATGTTTAGTTTTCAAACACAGTAAAGGGAGATCACACTTACACAGCTGATATTATAGCTGTCTTTTTTTTGTTTTAAGATTATATTTCTTTATTTATGAGAGAGGGCCAGAGATCACGAACAGGGGGAGCAGCAGAGGGAGAGGAAGAAACAGGCTCCCCATGGAGCAGGGAGCCTGATGCAAGGGTCAGTCCCAGGACCTTGGGATCATGACCTGACCCGAAGGCAGATGCTTAACTGACTAAGTCACCCAGCTGCCCCTATAGCTCCCTGTCTTAAATCCAAACATTATTTTAAGGGGGAAAAAGGGAATAATATTTACAGATGACACAGACTGAAACCAAGGTGACTTTTGGTTATCATGATGGTCTCAAGAAGACCATTTGGAAGACTCCCCTGTACTAGTGTAGCTTCAGTATTATATATCCATAAGTTGCATCTCTGTTATATAGTGAATGAATCCATTCTTTTCTACTCCCTCCCATCCTGGTCCCATTCCCTTATCTAACAATGTTTTAGAAATAAACAGGAATTGGGGTATCCCCTAAGAATATCAAGCATTGATTTACCTTGGTTTGGAGGGAGGCTATATTTCTATTGGGAGTTGATTGTATAATGGTTATAATGCCTAAGTCATAGCTATATTAAACTCCTGAGAGCCCTTTTTCAAGTTCCTTGCTTCTCACATAGCACACTAATTCTATAGAGTACCGATCATTTTAGTCTAGACAGGGGAGGGCAATAATGAGCCAAACATCTTAGATAATCAGCTCATGTTTAAACTTAAAAGAGACTAAATCACAGAAGGGAAGTAAAGGGACAGTAAAGAAAGAAAGAATCCATGCCATTTTTCTCATACTCCAATAAAATAGTTGATTAAAAGTTGCTAAACTATGCATTTTCTGAGAGACTAGTGTTGGAGCCTAGTTCTAAAAATGTAAAGCTCTGATTACTTTATTACTGACCTACTTTCAGATTTCCTTCTGGGTTTGAGTATTCACTGAGATTTTGAGTTGGATTAAATCTTAATCACAACTTCTTTTCTGCTTCTAGTTTGATTCAACTTTTCTTTTCATTTTCTAGTTTGGTGAGGATTCATCAACCTCCAGTATGATGTCTGTGAACTTTGATGTTCAGGCAAATCAGAGTGATATCAGTGATTTGGTCAAGTCTTCTCCTGTAGCCCATTCCATTCTCTGGATCTGGGGCAGGGATTCTGATGCATATAGGGTGAGTGAATAAAGGATGATGAAGCATTTTTCTCAGACAAGATTTCTGAAAGCAGTGATGGTCCTTATCACTGTTGAGCTTAGCTCAGCAAACACTTAGTCAACTTCTATTAAACACAAGGCATTCTCCTAGGTAGTAGATTAGCAAGACACAGGGTCTGCCTTGAGGTCTTCCTCCCAATCAAGTGAGGCATATAGACACTCCAATTTTGGTTCAAAACTTTGGGCTCTGAGTATAATTACCAACCCTCAAAAGTTTCTAAACTTGACCTAAGTATATGCTTCTATATACAGTTGACCCTTGAACAACATGGGGGCTAGAGGGTCCGACCCCCCCCCCCACAGTCAGAAATCTGCGTATAACTTTTTTGATTCCCCAAAAACTTAACTACTAATAGCCTACTATTGACCGAAGCCTTACTGAGAACATAAACAGTAGATTAACACTTTTTTTTATGTTGTAGGTATTATGTATTGTATTCTTACAATAAAGTAAGCTAGAGAAAAGAAAATGTTACTAAGAAAGTCATGAGGAAGAAAAAATACATATATAGTACTGCACTGTATTTATAAAAAAAAAAAATCCACGTATAAATGGACCTGCATTGTTCAAAGCTGTGCTTTTCAAGGGCCAGCTATATTTCACTTTTTAATCAGCATTCTTTTATTGAGCTCCTATTTGTGCATCAGGCTGGTACTGTGGATACGGTATGCGAGCTCTTTGCTGGACCTTGTATTCTATCAGATGATACAGATAATAAGTTAATAAGTATGTATTTTTTTTTTTAAGATTTTATTTATTTGAGAGAGAGAGATAGCTCAGGCAGGGGGAGTAGGGGAAGTAGCAGAGGAACAGGGAGAAGAAACAAGTTTCCCACTGAGCAGGGCACCCGAAGTGGGACTTGATCCCAGGGCTGTGGCACTGTGACCTGAGCCAAAGGCAAATGTTTAACCGACTAAGCAATGCAAGCGCCCCAATAAATATGTATTTCTGACTAGCTAAGAAATAATTGTATGTTAGCCCATGGGGATACCAAGGTATGAGGACAGATACCATGTATTTTTTATTCAGTATTAAATTTTTAGAATTTAGTCCAGTTAATATTCTATCAGAATTAATATAGCCACTTAGATTTAATTCTGTGTAAAATAAATTCCCAAAAGTTTGATAACTCCAAGATTTAAGTTTAATAAGCCTCTGATGTATCTTATTTATATTTAGAAAAATGAACATTTTACATATCAAAACAATTGTTAAATTTTGGCATTGGAAAAGAAACCATCTTAGTTCAGGGAAAAGTAGTTTTCTGTGCCAGTTTTTTAAGCTCATATATGTTTTCAGGTACAAATCATAAACTCTACTTTAAACCGGCTTAAAAGAAAATATGCCTCATATTACAGAAAGTCCAGAGATGAGAGCAAGCTTTGGGTTTGGTTGATTAAATGGGCCAGTGATATCATCAGGGACCCGTTTCTTTCCTTTTTTTTTAATTTGCCATCCCCGGTATAGGTTTCATCTTAATGCTTGTCTTCCTCATGGTCATGAGGTAACAGCCTGCAGCAACTTGGAGCAACGTGTTCTTTGTTCCTATGTGGCAAAGGAGACAAAGACTGGCTTTTCTTTCTCAGAAGCCCCAAGCAAGCCTCTCCTTGTATCTCATGGGGCTCAGCCGACTTAGGTCTGCCCAACCCTGAACCAGTCTATGGTAAAGCAGGTAGAATTACTAACATAGACTAACAGTCTTCGGTAGAAGGAACATGATAGAGTCTACAACAGTGTCTACAGGTTTTTTTAAATATGAAATTGTTCAGTTATCTTAATATATTTATATTCTTTTAAAAGTTTATTTAGCATGTCGAAATATTGAATGCAAGGAAATTTATGAGAAATTTTTTCTGTTTATTAGGACAAACAGCATATTCTTTGGCCTAAAAGAGCAGATTGTGCAGAAAGCTATCCTAGAGTCCCTCTTGGCGGGGAATTACCAACGTATTTTCTGCCACCGGAAAACAAAGGACTCAGGCAAGTGCTGATGGATTTGGCAAAGCACCTGATTCTGCATGATTGTCATCTGGCAGTTCTTTGAGAGCACCAACCTTGGACTTGAAAGGTTAAGTCTTTATCTTGAAATCACCCAAACTTTGAAAATAAGAATCTTGTTCCTTTTTCTTGTGCCAGGATCCACGAACTCAACAGTGATGATTATTCTTCAGAAGAAGAGGCCCAAACCCCTGACTGTTCCATAACTGACTTCAGAAAAAGCCAGACTCTGTCCTACTTAGTCAAAGAATTAGAGGTCCGCATGGATCTGAAAGCCAAAATGCCAGATGACCATGCACGAAAAGTAAGGCTCACTTAGGCTGGTGTTCATTGCCGTCCATTCTGGGTGACTTCACAAGCCTCTTAGGTGGAACGAAAACTTGATAGAAGGCAGTTATTGAACGTGAAGTTTTTTTAAAACTGTTAAAGCATTGGTGGAATCATTAAGAAGACTTTCATGCTATTGAAGGAGTGTCAGGGAAATGTGCTTCAGGGCTGCTCACGCAGACCACATGAGCATTCTCTCAAATAAGAGTGCCGCAAAGATGAGCAACACAGAACTCTCTGTTTACTTGATGGGGCTCATCTACTGGGGGCCATTCTGACCCCTTCAGTTTAGCTTTGCATCCTCCAAGTCTCCAGGAGTCTGTATAAATTGAAAGCTTGAAGATTCTCTTTGTGGCCTTTTCAACCCTGTGGCCTTATGTAAGGTCCTTGGAAGTTTGTATGAATTTGTATGAATTTACAGATACTATAGATAAATTCCATTATGCATTGTACCTTAATTCCTGCTAGTTATGTATAACTAAGTGTTGTATTACTGACTAGAAATTCTACATTAGATACCATTCCAGAGATACAAATGAAAGATTAGTTTTTTGCAGAGAAAACAGACCATCACAATAACCTTTTTAAAACTTAATTTTAAAACTGTGAACAGTTACTACTGACGGTCAACAAACATTTACTGAGGCGGAAAACATTATGTACCAGGCACTGTTTGGATTGCTAGGAAAGATAAATAGACCATGATCCCCACCTTAGAGTTACTCACAGTTACACACGTGTTGCAAGAACATAGCATAGTTGCAGATCTAGTGGTTTTCCAGCTAGGAAAGATAGAAGGTTTTTGTTGCCATTGGGTATTACATGCTGTTGTCTTTTGAATAATTTCTCTTTTGATTTTGGATACTTAGGTTGACTTTAAAGGGGTATGTGTATGTGGTATACATCTTGTAACATGTTTTAGTTAGAGGAAACTAGGGCTTTCATGTAAGCAGGTCAACACCTGTTGGTGATGACCTCATGTTTTATATATATAAATACATGATTATAAATGTCTATTCAAATTAGCTGTTCCTGAGGAGCTCAAGACTGCTATCTATAGAATTTTCTCAAATGTCTTCCCTCTTATTTTCAATTGAGTCAGTCTTCCTTTTGATGTTTTCAGATTTTGCTTTCCCGTATTAATAACTATACTATCCCAGAAGAAGAAATTGGGTCATTCTTATTTCATGCTATTAATAAGGTAAGTCTCCTGCTTTAGACAGCTGAAATTTAAATGCTTAGTATTTGTAATTAAAAATTAAAATGCATGCATTAAAAATCCTTGTTGGAACTAGTACTGTATTCTTTCAGCAACTGAGGTATTTTGGGTTTTTCAGCCAAATGCCCCCGTCTGGCTGATACTCAATGAAGCTGGACTCTACTGGAGAGCAGTAGGAAACAGCACTTTTGCTATTGCCTGTCTTCAGAGAGCTTTGAATTTGGCTCCACTTCAATACCAGGACATTCCTCTTGTGAACTTGGCCAACCTTTTGATTCACTATGGTCTCCATCTTGATGCCACTAAACTGCTCCTTCAAGCTTTGGCCATCAATAGCTCTGAGGTGAGGTTTTATGTTTCTCTGTAGCTCCATATACTATGTGGGGGTAACTCAAATTCAGGGTACAATTTGTATTTTTCTGGGGAAGGCATAAAAAAAAGTCTCACGTTTTTATCAGAGTACAGTTTGCATACTTTAGGATGACATAAAGCAAATTTTGTTTTGTCTTATTTTTGATGTGTTTTTTGTATTGATTTATTTTGTACAAATGTAAAATCGTGCTAATCACATTTTTCTGTATCTTCTTGTTTTTATTCCCAGATGTATCTTAGATATATTTAATTTATTTTCTTTAATTTTCATTCCACTTTAGCTAACATACAGTGTTATATTAGTCTCGTGTATAATGCAGTGATTCAACGCTTCCATACATCCCCGGGTGCTCATCACAAGTGCCCTCCTTCATCCCTATCTCCTGTTTCAGGTGCCTCTGCCTTCTGCCCACCTCTGCTCTGGTAACCATCAGTTTGTTCTCTGTAACTAAGAATCTGTTTCTTGGTTTGTCTCTCTCTCTCTCTCTCTCTCTCTCTCTTTTTTTCCTTTGCTGCTTTTGTTTCTTAAATTCCATGTATGAGTGAAATCATAAGGTATTTGTCTTTCTGTGTCTTATTTCACTTAGTACTATACTCTCTAGCTCCCTCCATGTCATTGCAAATGACACGATTTCATTCTTTTTTATGGCTGAATAATACTTCATTTTGTGTGTGTGTGTGTGTGTGTGTGTGTGTGTGTGTGTGTGTGTATACACACCACATCTTTTTTATCCATTCATCTATCGATGAACCATAGAGCTTCTTCTGCATGTTGGCTATTGTAAATAATGCTGCTGTAAACAAAGGGGTGCATTGATCCTTCTGAATTAGTGTTTTTGTCTTCTTTGGATAAATACCCAGTAGTGTGTTTGCTGGATCATAGGGTAGTTCTTTTTTTTTTTTTTTTTTTTTTTTTTTAAGTTTTATTTCTTTATTTGAGAGAGAGAGCATGAGTGGGAGGGGCAGAGGGAAAAGGAGAGAGAGAATCTCAAGCCAACTCTGTGCTGAGCGTGGAGCCTGATGCAGAGCTCAATCTCACTACCCTGAGATCACGACCTGAGCTGAAACCAAAAGTCAGTCACTTAACCAGACTGCCACCCAGGCACCCCAGGAGTTCTATTTTTAATGTTTTTTTTTTTTTTCCAAATTTTTATTTAAGTTCTAATTAGTTAACATACAGTGTAATACTAGTTTTAGGAGTAGAATTTAATCACATTCAGCACAATAGGTATTAAGCCCTCCTTAATACCTATCACCCATTTAGCCCATTCCCCGCCTACCGCCCCTCCATCAACCCTCAGTTTGTTCTCTGTAGTCTCTTTTATGGTTTGCTTCCCTCTCTTTTTTCCCCTTCCCATATGTCATCTGTTTTCTCTCTTTAATTCCACATGAGTGAAATCATATGGTTTTTTTTCTTTCTCTGACTAACTTCACTTAGCGTAATACACTCTAGCTTCATCCATGTCCTTGCAAATGGCAAGACTTCTTTTTGATGGCTGAGTAATATTCCACTGTATTTATGAATTCATCTTCTTTATCCACTTATCAGTCAGTGGACATTTGGGTTCTTTCCTTAATTTGCCTGTCGTTGATAATGCTGCTATAAACGTCAGGGAGCATGTGCCCCTTCGAGTCAGTATGTTTGTAGCCTTTGGGTAAGTACCTAGTAGTACAGTTGCTGGGTTATAGGATAGTTCTATTTTTACCTTTTTGAGAACTTCCATACTGTTTTCCAGAGTGGCTGCACTATTTTGCTTTCCCGCCAACAGAGTGAGGGGTTTCCCTTTCTTTGTATCCTTGCCAGCATCTATTGTCTCCCGTGCTGTTAATTTTAGCCATTCTGACAAGCGTGAGATGGTATCTCATGGTTTTGATTTGTATTTCCCTGATGATGAGTGATGTTGAACATCTTTTCATGTGTCTGTTGGCCATCTAGATGTCTTATTTGGAAAAATAGCTGTTCATGTCTTCTGCCTATTTTGTAATTGTATTTTTTTTTAGTATTGAGTTGTATAGGTTCTTTATATATTTTGAATATTAACCCTTTATCAGATATGTCATTTGCAAATACCTTCTCCCATTCCATAGGTTGACTTTTAATTTTGTTGATTATTTCCTTCACTATACAGAAGCTTTTTATTTTGATGTAGTCCCAGTAGTTTATTTTTGTTTTTAATTCCCTTTGTCCCAGGAGACCTATCTATAAAAACATTGCTATGGCTGATGTCAGAGAAATTACTGCCTTGTTCTCTTCTAGGAATTTTATGTTTTCAGGTCTCACATTTAGGTCTTTAATCCATTTTCAGTTTATTTTTATGTGTGGTGTAAGAAAGTAGTCCAGTTTTATTACCACTTACTGACCAGTTTTTCCAACACCATTTGTTGAAAACTATCTTTTTTCGATTAGATATATTCTGTCCTGATTTAATAAGATTAACCATATAATTGTAGGTTAATTTTTGGGTTTTCTGTTCTGTTCCATTGATCTGTGTATCTGTTTTTGTGCCAGTACCATTCTGTTTTGATTACTACAGTTTTGTACTGTAACTTGACATCCAGAATTGTCATACTTCCAGCTTTGCTTTTCTTTTTCAAAGTTGCTTTGGCTATTCAAGGTTCCATTTGTGGTTCCATATTAATCTTGGGATTTTTTTTGTTCTAGTTCTGCAAAAAATGCTGTTGGTGTTTTGATAAGGATTTTATTCAATGTGTAGATTGCTTTGGGTAGGATAGACATTTTAACAATGTTTTTTCTTCCAACTCACGAATGTGGGATTTCTTTCCATTTGTTTGTGTTCTCTTCAATTTCTTTCATCAGTGTTTTACAGTTTTCAGAGTATAATTCTTTCACCTCTTTGGTTAGGTTTATTCATAGGTCTTATTTTTGGTATGGCTGTAAATGGGATTGTTTTTTCAATTTCTCTTTTTGCTCTTTCATTATTAGTATGTACAAATGCAACAAATTTCTGCACATTGATTTTATATCCTATGATTTTACTCAATTCACTTAACAGTTTTAGTAATTTTTTGGAGTCTTTAGGCTTTTCTATATATGGTATCACATCATCTGCAAATAGTAAAACATTTTACTTCTTCCTTACCGATTTGGATTCCTTGTATTTCTTTTTGTCTGATTGCTGAGACTAAGACTAAGTACTATGTTGAATAAAAGTGGTGAGAGTGGACATCCTGTCTTGTTCCTGATGTTAGGGGAAAAGCTCTGTTTTTCCCCATTGAGGGTGATGTTTATTGTGGGTTTTTCATATATGCCCTTCATTATGTTGAGGTGTGTTCCCTCTAGACCTACTTTGTTGAGGACTTTTATCATGAATGGATGTTGTACTTTGTCAAATGCTTTTTCTGTATTTATTGAAATGATCATACAATTTTTATCCTTTCTCTTAACTGATGTATCACATTGATTGATATGTGAATATTGAATCACCATTGTATCCTGGGAGTAAATCACATTTGATTGTGATGAGTGATTTTTATTAATGTATTGTTGGATTCAGTTTGTTAGTATTTCGTCGAGGATATTTGCACCTATGTTCATCAGAAATACTGGCCTATAGTTCTCTTGTGTCATTTCTTTATTTTAAATGAGTGAAATTTATAATTATGTGCTTAATTTATTTTTAGGAACTTATGTTTAAATAAGAATGACACAGCTGCTAAAAATATACTGCCACTTTTTTATGTCAGTCTGAAACATCTGGTTCTTTATCCTACTCATCACAGTATGCCTGCTGCTTAATATTATATTGTTTTACAACTTTAATTTATAGATATCTTTATATCAACCAAGCCAGAGCATAATTTAAAGGTCGCATTGATAAGAATAGATAGATGGGTTAATATTCATGCCCTGAACCTCCCACATGCAGCCCATGGAGTTAATCACTGCTGTGTAGTTAATTACTCTAGTTCATAATTTCTGAGATGCAGCTTCTCTGAAATAAGGATGCGTGTTACAATTGATGACAACCTAGGTTTGATGAAATACAGTTATAGTAAATATACAATTAAATTGCTCTTATACCTAGTATTTAAATGTTCATAAGTTTTATATCCAAAAAAAATTTATTTATTTTAAAAGATTTTATTTATTTACTTGAGCGAGAGCACAAGCAGGGGGAGAAGCAGAGGCAGAGGGAGAAGGCTCCCCACTGAGAGGGGAGCCCCATGCAGGGCTCCATCCCAGTACCCTGAGATCATGAAGTGAACTAAAGTCAGATGCCCAATGGACTAAGCCACCCAGGTGCCCATCCAAAAAAAAAACTTTTAAAAGAAGTGTGCATGAGTGCTTTAGGTTTGTTTGTGATATTTCAGAACTAATTTTTTAAGTATGAGAAGAAAATATTGCCTGTTGAGAGTTTCCCTTGAAATACACAAATTCACAAGTAGATTTAAGCCAAACTTTACAGTTGCTATACTGTACAACAGGCCTGGTGCCAAAAAAGTATATCAGATATTTACCAAATGTTTTTTTGTGGCCCAAAAGCTGGGGGGCAGGTGCAGGTACAGTGGGAACAGATGCTATATATGGGATGTGATGATTGGGCCCCCAAAGGCTCACCTCAGCTGTGTTCCCCTGATACTTATTTCACTTTCTGTTGTCACCAGCAAAGGCAATGAGGCAGTGTTCCTCTGAAGAAAAAAGAGCTCCTTTAGAAATCAACTGCCTTTCTATATTTGAAAATTACAATAAAATTTCAGTTGTTAAATACTATGGTGCTACAGTAATAGTCAAAAGAGAAATCAGTGGATCAGAATAGATACCACAAAAATGCACCTTAATCAGCAAGCACCCTTCCCTCAACTATCAACATTTGGAAAGTCCTGGAAGTTTTTCTTCTATTCAAATATTTCGTAGTGTTGCAACACTGTTGCACTGGCGATCTTCAAAAGTTACTATATAAAAAAGTTTTATTACCACATAGTTTTTACTAGCCATCATTAATGGCTGCT